ACAGAGTTCGCTTCGTGGTGAAGCGAGAAACGTCTTGACAGACACAGCCTTCTCACAGGGTGGCTATGACGACACCTGGTTGCGATTGAAGGCCAGGTACCAGAACGGCAAAATACAAGTATTCGCCGCCATAGCAAAAATTATTGACTATAGCTAATAGACGGCTCCTCGCGCCAACTAAGGGCCTTACATGACTCTATCAAAAACTCAATGAGTACTCTCAAAACCTCTATGTCACCACAAGATCCTGGGATCCAATCCTGTGTTTTATTATCAGAAGAAAACTAGACCAGCAGTCTCTTGCTGCTCTGAAGAATTCAACGGATGCAGCAACGGAAATCCAACGTTAGGGAGTGTACTGACGTTTATTGAGTGGCGCGCTGCCATGCTGAAGACGATAAGCGCTCAACCTACAGAATCATTCCGCCATCAGTCAGTTCACAACGAAGAGAGCTGTAAGATTTGTCATTTTAGAGCATGTAGCCGTTTCCAGGAAATGGACCCCAAAACGTGGTGCCAAGCCACTATTCGAGTAGGAGCAGGCACAAATTTTTTGTCTACAAGGTTGAAAACTGTGGATCACCGACCACTTGACGAGTCTGCCAGCAACGGCATCATTCACTGTTACACCAAGGACCGACTAGCAATCCAGTGGCCGGCGCAGTAACCATTGCAGGCTACGACGACGTAGGAGGATATACTCTCCTCGCGACCGCCAAGGTATCATTACAAGGGCCAAACGGTCAATTACAAACATGTCGCGCTGTAATAGGTGGTGGATCACAGGTGAATCTTATCTCAAGGAGAATGGCAGATCTCTCTCTTAAGGAAAGGTCACCGATTGAAATGTCTGGAATCGGAGGAAAAATATCAACAGCAATTAGATCAACACTAAAGCTCTCATCAGTTACATCAGGTTTAAAACACTAAAAGTGGTATTTATTATTCCCACAGTCATTACAGACCAACCGTCAGTACCGATTGATACCGATCTTAATATTCCCGAGGGACTGCCGTTAGCAGATCCTGACTTTCGGCAACCTGGACCCGTTGACCTAACCTTAGGGGTTGAGTGTATTCTCGTGTAATAACCGGTGAACTTCTTGAACTAGGACCTAATAAACCTTTGGCACAAGGCACTAGCTTGGTTATGTAATCACAGGTTATCTCAATAAACTTGAGCTTAATCCAGCTTCACAGGATACGATTCTTCTTCCAGCGTCACAGGAACTTCAGCTTAACCCAGCTTCACAGGATACGTTTCTTCTTTCAGCGTCACAGGAACTTCAGCTTAATCCAGCTTCACAGGTACGCTCTTCTTCCAGCGTCACAGGAACTCAGCTTCATCCAGCTTCACAGGATACGCTTCTTCTTCCAGCGTCACAGGAACACACAATATGTCTACTTCATTCATAGAGGAAACAAGTCACACAAGAATCGATTTACACAATCGATTACTAGACACCCAAAACGAGCTGCAAGGGAAAATCCAACAGCTCATTAAGAATTATGGCAAGGATTCTGCCGACCGACGCCACCGAGACGGCTATTATTCCGGTAAGCTAAATCAGTTAAACGATCTCTGGCAGCAGTTTGCGTCCTACATGAAGAAGTCCAGCAAGCGGCATTACCCACTGGAAGTGAGTACTCTTCACGAGTAGTAGCACTTAAGGAGGTAGACGAAAAATATATCACACACTTCACTTTTTTTTCTACACACTATTGTTGAAGGCTTTAGAAATATACTTTATTTGCTGTCGCGGAAAGATTTATTTTATTAAATATATAACAAATATTTTTCCGCGACACAAAAAAAAATACTCATTTTTTCACGTCACTTTCTCCGCATTTTTGATGGTTTTTAAAAATATATTCTTTCTGATCGCGTAAAAAGGTCTATTAAATATAGCAGTCTTCTTCCTCGACACATAAAAATATACTCTTCAACTCAAGTCACACACACACACACACATACGATCGTTGAAGGTATTAGATATTGTTTCTGTCCAACGCTATAGTGCCATACTATGTGAATATTAATATAGACCATAGATCGTTGCACAGAAACAATCAATTTTTTTGTTTTGTTTTTTTTAACAGTGTATAGTTCTCACATAATATATTTTTTTTTTTGTTTTGTGACTGCAAGCTGAAATGAGAACGTTGTACATTAAGAGATTCTATTTTGAGGAGTAAATAATTTTTTTATTGATATATATAATATAGGTTATATATGTGTATATAATTATTACATCTATCAAGTCTCTCACCCAAATTCTGATACCGTTGCATTAATATATAAACTCCTACTTTAAAGCGTTTTCTAATGTTGCGCGACATCTTCACTAATTTCCTCATGTTTCGTAAGGTCCTTAGTTCAAAGTCTGGTAGAATATCCTCATCTCAATACAAAATTCGTCTATTTCTTTTTTTAATTCGTCAACATCATCTGTATTGACACAGGTTTCTACCTCGTAACCGCTCATTTCTTTTTTAATCTGTAACTCGCACCGTAAATTCGTCATCATCTTCAATAATAATTTTAGGATTTTGTCAAGTTTTCGCGCAAAAAGCGATAGCGTTGCATTAGGTTAAAGGCTCCCCACATGAATTGCCCCCTGATGGGACGTAAGCTCTGTAGTCTCCTGGCGTCAGTACGTTCCTACTGTCAACAGTTTTTTATGGTGCGTAAGTCCTCAGTCGCTGCTAGATATTACATCATCGTAGTCCCTGCGAAATTCTTCAATTTCGTCCTTTAATTCTTGAACTTCTTTATCGGCAACAGCAACAACGTTCTCAATGTTTTTAGATGCTCGTTTAGCAAGAGAGTTAACAATGGTGGATCTAAGCATCTTGTTGGGTCGCGGATCTTCCTTTTCAGCAGCAACAGCACCAGCACCAGCAGCAGTACCATCTTCAGTACCAGCACCTTCACCATCAATGTTAGATTTAGAAACTTGCGTTTTGAGTCCTTTATTTTTTTTGATTAGAAAATATAAATAAAAAAGAGATGAAGAATAAATTGTAATTTACATTCTTTTTTTATGTTTTTTTTTTTATTGTTTAGGCGCAGCAGGTATGGTTATGGTGAGACCTACGTTATCATCCTCAATGTGTCCTCAGGAATTTGAGTTAAGATCGGGAAGACATCGTTGTCTTCTTCTTCTGAGCTTACGTAATTGGGTGTTGTAACACACGCATTTACAACTGCCGCATCGAAGCATTTTCGGGTTTTTGCTAATCCAACCGGATGAACCGGTACTTCTTCTGCTCCTACTAATACTTCTTGAATTTGATCGTTTGGTTTTTGTTTGGACTCCATGATTTTGCTTGCTTAGTTTGGTTCTAAGTCTGGATGTGGTAATATTGTTCACGTACTTAGCAATGTAAGTCAATTATGAACTGCCTTTGAATTTGGCTGCCGAGCGCTAATTATTGAGAATTTTTCTGATTGATTGTATGAGGATGCAATATTAGTTCTCACAATCACTTTGATATGCCTTGAACACCGTATGTGTGATAACTGCATCCAATGAAAAAAAAATAATTTATTTTTCTTCTACCCCCACGCTAAATTTTTTGTACTTGAGTAGTGCTTGCTGAATTTTTTTTTAGGTTGTGTGTGATAACGAATAAAAAATGATTGATTAAATTTATACCAGCTGTGGTGCGATAACAGTATGCTTTGAGAAAAAAATTTGATTTAAATTCACAACTGCGCAATAAGTGTGTGCACACACAATCACTTGCAATACAAAGTTGTTACCCAAAGGTGCTCAACATGACCACACCCAACAAATCAAGCAGTAGCCAAGTGGGAACAGTACTAGGCGCTCAGTAGCACCCACTGCATATGAAAATTGCTGATCAGCTATTATATGTCTCACTAACTCACCTTCTTACCGACTGAACGGCCCACTGACCGCCAATGCAGTCAGCACATTTTGCAGTGTCAGCCAACTACGCAAAGCCAACTATGCAAACTGCTACCATAATCATAATTCCCTGACCTACTTAATATAGCTCACTTTACTAATCATTACACTAAACTTCCGTGTTTCAAGTAGTATATAAACATGTTCCAAATGCAGAATAAAACAGTTATCAACGCATCTCATAACTCCGCTTTCTACTTCCTACCTCTGGGAATAGGGCTCGTAATATACTATCTCCACTAGTAGCTAACCTACGTTAGCTCAACCTCAGCGCAGTTCCGCATCGCCTGTGGTCCGCATCGCAAACCATCGTTACCATTGCCGCGACGTGATCTTCCTGCCAGCAAAGCTCCTCTGCCTACCTCGGAAATAGGCTCGTAATATACTATCTCCACTAGAAGCTAACCTACTTATAGCTCAACCTCAGCGCAGTTCCGCATCGCCTTGGTTCGGCATCGCAGTAACCATGTTACCATTGCCGCGACGTGATCGTCCTGCCAGCAAAGCTTCCCCGTGTCAGCGACAAGTGCTAATTACCCCCTTGTCCCGCGGTGAGACCCGGAAGTGTCTACTTCGGTTAGACACAAACACAAAGTATGTGATTTTCTTTTTTTTTTGTTTGATATGCCTTTGAACACCGGATGTGTGATAAGTGCATTCAATGCAAAAAAAAATTATTTAATTTTCTTTATTTCTACCCCCAAGCTCAATTTGTTTTTATTTGAACTTTTTTTTTTAAGTTGTTTGTGATAACGAAGAAAAAAATGTGTTTTTTAAATTTATACCAGCTGTGTGTGTGATAACAGTATAAATAAAATTGACTTTAAATTTTTTAGATGTGTGATAAAAAAATTTTCGGACCTCTCCCCCCTCCCGCTCTCGCTCTCCCTCTCGCTCTCCCTCCCGCTCTCCCTCCCGCTCTCCCTCCCGCTCTCCTTCCCGTTCTCCCTCCAGCTCTCCCCAATATTAAATACGATTTTTTCAATTTCACAACAATGTGAAATATTAGTATTTTAATTTATTTCCATTTTTTTCATTTTTTTTAAGCATTGTGAGGACAGTAAACATTATTAAGTTCGTGATTATTATTATTATTATTTCGAACTGCTGCTGCTGCATCGTTAATCATCGCAGCATTGATGCAGTCTATATAACAAGAAAAGACTATTTGAAATATTACAATTGCAATATAGATTAACAAAAGCAATAGTAAAGATATATTAGTAATGTTAACATGATAGACATATTTTGGTATTAGTGGTGTTTTTGAAACGCCGTCGTTGTCTGCTTCATCATAGGGTGTTGCTGCTGCTGCTGTTGCTGGTTCTTTGGTGCTGGTTGTTGTGTGTTTCCCTTTGCGATAGGTGTCCAGGGGGCTGCCCGCAGCTCCATATTGCTGCTCTGCCGTCCGAACTACGTTGCCATACGCCTTCATGCTTGTCCTTGTAGGGCTCGCTGAGTATTGCCACCTCAGCCTGCTGCTCGATGACCGTCTGTGCTAGCAGGTCCTGCGTCGCTCTGCAAGAGGAGAGAGTTGTGAAAGCATAAAGTTTTCAGCATAAAGCCAGAAGTGCAGCCGGCCATCCGGCGTGGAGCACTTGGGACACGCACCTGGACATCAGCTGGTGGACGGAAGGCCGTGGACGACATCCAGGAGCAGCTTGGGAATCTATCCCCAACAGGATTGGCGGCCAGGCAGGGGCCGGTCGTAGGTGAGGGAGGGGAGGCATCTCTGCCTCTTATTACTTTCCACTCGTTGTTTGTTTAGCAGTTGCCAAATTTTTTTCACCCGCGCTTTCTATTTTCGCAAACACTGAATCAGTGGTGGAAAGCGCTTGCGCGACCAGCTGATCGTAGTGTGCGAAAGGGGCTGCGGGTGATATAGCAGGACAGGGTGCAGGCCAAGCACATAAGTGCGTGCCGTAGCACGTAGGGAATTTTGGGCGGCTCTCTTGAAAAAAATAAGAAAATAAAAACCATAAACCTTATTACTAAGATTTATCCCTTTTATTAAATAATTTATAAAAATATTAAAGTCCGATCGAAAAACAGCAGGATACTGCGGGTAAAGATCCAAGCTTCCTGCAGTACCATCGAACTCCCCAGGCGTGGAAATGGCGGGCAGGGGATCGGGGGCACAACACCCTGGCGCTAGCCTAGGGGTTGGGTCAACCAATAGTGGAGGCACTTCGGCAAACAAAGGCCTGGCGGCGCCGGCTAACGCCGACGGCTTCCACACGCCTTTGTCCAGTCTACCTAACTGGGCCAACACGGGAGCTGACCCGTTTAAAAAAAGGAGTGTAATGGCGAGATCGCCAGAAAAAAGGGTGGAGTGCAGTGGCAGGCAGCCTGGCACCCCCAGCAGGAGAAAAAAGCAGCCCAAAAGCTGCTGATGAGGAGCAGGGGGATATGCTGAAACAGCTGACTGGCCTGGGATCAAAGGCCAGGGAGCTGAAGAAGCTAATGGAAGGAAAGCGTTCCATAACAAGCCCCATGAGGGACATAGTCGACGAAATTGACTATCTCCAGAGGGAAGTCCTGTCGGCTGTGCAATGCATAGTCGAAGAACAAGAAAAAGCCAAGGAGATAGCTAAAAAAACCTGCGCAGAAGTGCTCGCGAGCGGCACCAGCAAGCGACCCAGGGGTCAAGAAACTGGGATGACGTTAGCGGTACCAGCGAAAAAGGCGATGCATAAGGCACCGGCAAGTGAGGCCAGTCAAGGTGTAAATATAGGGAAACATGATGGGACAGCAAGCACCAGCAAACCCCAAAAACCTGGGAAGAAGCCAAAGGAGTGGACACAGGTGAAGCAGAAGGCTAGGATGCCCAAGGTGCGACCGCCACGGAACGACGCGATAGTCATCGCAGCCTCCGCTGGAGGGTCCTATGCCGACATCCTTAAAAAGGTTAAGGCTGAACCGCAGCTTAAGAAGCTAGGACAAGCAGTACAGGCCGTTAGGCAAACAGCAAACCGTAGAGCTTCAGACCACAATGAAGGCTGTCCTGGGCAACAATGTCGACGTCAGAGCGCTGACTGAGACAATGCTGATCGAGATAAAAGACATTGATGAGACCACCGACAAAGCGGACATCTTATGTGCGGTTCAATCACAGTTCGATGTGGAACTGCCAGAATCGGCGGTGGTAAACCTAAGGGTGGCATACGGAGGCACCCAAACCGCCACACTAAGAGTTATGCCCGACATAGGAAGGCGACTCTTGGAGAAGGGCAAAATTAGGCTGGGATGGACCTGGTGTAGAGTCCGCCCAAAGCTAACACCTAAAAGGTGTTTTAAATGTATGGAGCTTAACCATATAGCAGGGAAATGCAGGGTCCAGGAGGACTGCTCAAAATGCTGCTACAACTGTGGCGCAAAGGAGCACCAAGCCAGAGGCTGCAAAGCAAAGGCCTGCTGCATGCTATGCAAACGCAAAAAGGAGAAAGATTGCGATCACCCAACAATGAGTGGGAAATGCCCGTACTTCAGGAGGGCTATGCAAAGGCTAAGGGGTAAATGAAGTTCCTTCAGATTAACATAAATCATTGCGAGGTTGCCCAATCGTTGCTGGAGCAAAATGTCATCGAGAAAAACGTAGACATGACACTCATAAGCGAGCAATACAGGAATACAAATTCCGAAGAATGGGTAACAAATAATAGCTAAAATCGGCAATATGGAGCTGCGGTAATCCAAGGCGTCATATTAGCAAGGAAAAATGCGGAAATTGCTTCGCTAGGGCCCAAGTGAATGGTATAGCTTTCTAAAGCTGTTACCTGCCGCCAAGCCTTAGCCTTCCCAAGGCAATATCTGCGCTCGAAGAGATTGCAGAAGACGCCCGGGAAAATCGCCCCACCGTAATTGCCGGGGACTTTAATGCCTGGACTACGGAGTGGGGCTCCCCCGAACCGCGAGGGGAAATGCGCTACTTGAGAGCTTCGCCGCACTTGAGCTAGTGCTGCTGAACTCTGGAACAAAACCGACTTTCCCAAGAGCCGGCACCAGTTCTATCATTGACCTCACATTTGTGAACGCTGGATTGGGCTCGGGCTCCAGCTGGGAGGTTAGTGACACCTACACGGGTAGTGACCATGCAGCAATAATCTGCACGATAATTTCTTTAAGTGGCCCACCACGAGTTCCTAAGACCGTGCCAGGGTACAAAATAGAAACGCTAGACGTGGAGATGGTACAGATGTTGTTCGAGGACCTCTCCACAAGCGGCTCAGCTGAAGAAAGCGCAAACCACATCGCAGAATACACCAAAGTAGCCTGTGATGCATCTATGCAGAGAAGGGGGAAAATCCCATCAAGAAGAAAACCTGCATACTAGTGGAACCAATCCATTGCGGAAGCCAGGAAAGACTGCCACAGGGCAAGACGCGCATACCAACGCTCAAGAAGAAGGCCCGAGTTTGAGGCACTTCAAATATATTTCGGGGGAAAAAGTCGAGCCCTGGAAAAAACTATAAAAGAGAGCAAACGCAGGTGCTTTAACAATATATGCGAAGAAATAGACTCCAACCCATGGGGCTTCGAATATAAACTCGTCACAAAACGGCTGCGGGTATTTAGTCGGCCATCACCGACATGCCCAGTCAGCCTAAAAAGGATAGTGGAAACACTATTCCCAGAGCAAGAGGGTATGGCGCGAACCTCACTGATCGTGAACAGGGCGAGCATAAAGCTCACAAGTGCCGAAGAAGTCCTCCAGGTATTGAAGACAACACTGGACGACAAGGCACCGGGACCAGATGGAATCCCGAATAAAGTGCTCAAAATTGCCATAAAAGCAAATACTAAATACTAAGGAGTGAGTTGACATGTATAATGCATGCCTAACGGAAGGTGTGTTCCCTAGCCGGTGGAAAACACAGCGGCTGGTACTCATACCAAAGGGTGAAAAACCCGCGTAGGAGCCTTCTTCGTATAGGCCACTCTGCATGCTGGACTCGGTGGGTAAAATTCTCGAAAGAATAATCCACTCCCGGCTAGAAGGTGCCCTTGTAGAAACCAACGGCCTCTCAGAGATGCAGTATGGTTTTCGGAAGGGGCTATCCACCATCGACGCCGTCGGTAAACTGTGTGAAATCGCAGATAAATCCATTGAGGGGAAAAGGTGGTTGTACGGCACTAAGCAGTACTGCATAGCGGCAACGTTACATGTAAAAAACGCTTTCAACTCCGTTAGCTGGGACCACACACTAAATGCACTGAGCAACCTAAATGTACCACTGTATATACAGAGAGTAATAGCGAGCTACTTTGAAGGCCGCATGCTCCTGTACGAAACTGATTCCGGGAAATCGACCCACAGGGTCACCGGGGGAGTTCCCCAAGGATCAGTCCTAGGCCCTTTGTTATGAAATGCCATGTACGATGGGATACTTAGGATCACGATGCCCGAAGGGGCACGACTCACTGGTTTCGCGGATGACGTGGCCATAGTAGTTACGGCAAAGAAACTCCCACATGCGGAAAGAATCTGCAACGAAGCGGGGAAACGAGCAAGCGCATGGCTCGACTCCAAGGGTCTCGCCTTGGCAGCGCACAAGACTGAAGCAGTCCTGATAAGTAGCAGGCAGAAAGTGGAGGCGGCTACTATCAAAATTGGAGAAGCCACAATTACATCGCGTCCAAGCCTAAAATACTTGGCCGTCATGATCGACCACCGGCTTTCTTTCAAAGAACATCTAGCGTACGCTAGTGGCAAGGCAAGTAGGACCGCGGCCGCGATTTTGCGAATTATGGCGAACACTCGGGGACCAAGGCAACCAGGACGTAGATTACTGGTTAGTGCTGTCACATCGACGCTGATGTACGCTGCTCCCATATGGGCTCGAGCCACAAAAAATGGAAGTTATATGCAAGACGTCGACTCCGTGCAGAGGTTGTGTGCCCTAAGGGTATGCAGTGCGTTCCGCTCGGTATCCCATGACGCGGCACTGGTAATATCGGGAGGCATACCGATTGATTTGCTGGCTGTGGAATCAGCTAACATCCCCGCAGGCAGCACAGGGGTCGCAACTGCAGAATCCCTACGGAAAAGGTGCAGAGAACTCACCATTGCTAAGTGGCAAGAGAGGTGGGTAAATAGTAGCAAAGGACGATGGACGTATAAGCTTATCCCAGAACTACAGAGATGACTGGGACGGAAGCATGGACATGTGGACTTTTACTTAACGCAACTGTTGACGGGACATGGATGCTTTAAATACTATCTAAATAGGTTTAAGCATGAACGTTATACGCACTGCCCACTCTGCGAGTCGGATAATGAAGACGCAGAACACGTGTTTTTTGTCTGTCCGAGATTCGAAAATGAACAAGAGATCTGAGCATAAGGGTTGGGAGGACGCCAGCCGCTTGTAACCTGGTGGACATTATGCTTGAATCAGAAGTAAATTGGTCTGCGGTATGCAACATGGCCACAATAGTACTAAAAAAACTGCGCATCGCAGAAAGACTGCGAAATTCCAATAGGATAGAATCCTAAAGAGCCCTAATCGCATATGTATACTTTGGAGAGTTTCTTTATCCTCGGGCGACAGAATGTGTAGATATTCTTGAATGAAATCAATAATTATAACCCGTTACTCGTAGAGTAAAAGGGTATACTAGATTCGTCGGAAAGTATGTAACAGGCAGAAGGAAGCGTTTCCGACCCCATAAAGTATATATATTCTTGATCAGGATCACTAGCCGAGTCGATCTAGCCATGTCCGTCTGTCCGTCTGTCTGTCCGGATGAACGCTGAGATCTCGGAAACTATGGGGAGCTAGGCTATTGACATTTGGCGTGAAGATTCCTGAGCTTCTTACGCAGCAGCGCAAGTTTGTTTCAGTAGACTGCCACGCCCACTCTAACGCCACAAACCGCCCTAAACTGTAACTCCTACAGTTTTGATGCTAGAATAAAAATTTTTAACTGAAATGTAATGTTCT